TTTGAAGTCTACTTTGTCCAAGATAAGTATTGCTACTACTGCCTGTTTTAAGGGGCCATTGGCTTGGTAATCTTCTTTTAGCCTTTCACCCTAAGACAGTGCTTGTTTCTGTTGATGAGATGGGTCTCCTGTAAGCAACAGATTGTTGGATCTGCTTTTTTAATCCAGTTTGCCAGATGGTGTCTTTTGATGGGGGAATTAAGTCTGTTAACATTCAGTGTTAGAATTGATAGGAATGTGGTGATTCCTGTCATTTAGTTGTCTTTGTTATTTAAGGGTTTGATTGTGTATAGCTGAATCAATGTTAGTCTCTACTTTCTTGCCTTTTGTTCTCCTGTGATTTGTTGCTGCCTGTCCTCTTATGGTTTTGTTTTCTTTCATTTTCTGTGTGCAGAATTCCTTGAAGAATCTTTTGTAGTGGTGGCTTGGTGGTCATATATTATTTTAGTTTCTGCTTATCATGGAAGACTTTTATTGCTCCATCTATTTTGAATGATAGTTTTGCTGGGTAGAGTATCCTAGGGTCGAAGTTATTTTCATTCAGTGTCTGGAATACGTACTACATGCTCTCCTTGCTTTTTAGGTTCTGTTGAGAAATCTGCTGTGATTTTGTTGGGTTTACCTTTATAACATACCTTTGTATGTTATTTGTTTTTTCTCTTTTATAGCCTTCAATATTCTTTCTGTATTCTCTGTGCTTGTTGTTTTAATGATAATATGTTGTAGGGTAGTTCTATTTTGGTCAAGTCTATTTGGTGTTCTGGAGGATTCCTGTACCTGAATGGGCATAGTTTTCTCTAGATTTGGGAGATTTTCTGTTATTATTTTGTTTCATATATTGCGAATTCAGTTTGTTTGCACCTCTTCTCCTTCTTCAATGTCCATGATTCTCAGGTTTGGTCTTTTGGTGGAGTCAGTGCGTTCCTGCATATTCCTTTCACAGGTCTTGAGTTGTTTGACTAATGGCTCTTCAGTTTTTCCTTTAATTTCCATTTTACCTGCAAGTTCTGAGATACTGTCTTCTGCTTGTTTTAGTCTGCTGAAGTGGACTTTCACTGTGTTTTATGTTTTTGTTTTGTTCTTTTTTCTGAGGTTTTTCATGCATGGGTCACTTCCCCTTTAATATTGTCTATTTTCATCTTTAGTTCATTTAGCTCCCTGTTTATAGTGTTCTCTGTTTCACTTTGGTGTTTATTTAGGGCTCCTATGATTTCATTTATTTGTTTCTGTGTCTTCTCGAATTCTTTTTTTTTGGTGTCTTGAAATTTCTGAGTGCCTCTTGTACATTTTGGTTCACCATGTCTAGTATCATCTCCATGAAATTCGCAGTGATTTGGAGAGTTTTTTAGATTATTATTTTAGTAGCACATAATAGTTGTATGGGGAATGCATTGTAATTTATATATATGTGCTTTCAATATATCTTAACTAGATTTACTTCCCCCCATTGTTTTCCCTCTTCTTAGAGCAATTTCAACAGGTTTCATTCTTGTATTTTCTTAAATGGTTACAAAACATCCACCATATTTCACTCTTGTTCTCTCTTTCCTTTTGCCTACCCACTGATACCCTCCCACTGATACTCACCCTTGGAAAAGACCTATTTTTCCCTCTTGCCCTTCATTTTTCAAAGAGTATATTGATAGTCCCAGGGGGGTTCACCTTGGTACTTCAGGACTGTATATATTGTGCTTTAATCAAATTAGCCCCTACTATTACTTACTCATCGTCTATCACGTGCTCCCCTAATATTCAACAACTTACAGTGCAGAACAATAGATTATAGTCATATGTAAATGGGTTGATTCAATATTTTTCATTCTCTAATGTTTTCTTTACCTCTCCTTCCTCCCATAGTTCCCTCAGACAGACTCACTAGTGCAATCTTGTTCTCTCTGATTATAGGTGTGTTGCACCATGCCTGGCTTTAGCTTCATTTTACTGTAGCTGCTAATAGGTTTAGGCTCTGAGAACATGTAAGTTCTATGTTCACTGTACTGTTCCCTTCCTTTATTGGACACAAATAGCTTTGCAACATATATATAATTTTAGTAATATTTACACACACACACATCTTTACTTATCAGAATATAAGTTTCAATATACCAGGACCTTGCCTCACTTATCACAAAATTCTTCCCAGAATTCAGAACTATGTCTAGCCTAGAGTATATGATAAATAAACTAGCACTACCTACTTTATTGTAATTTATTTGTGGATGGACAATGGTTTCTGACAAAAGATTTTGTTCTGTTCTGCCCTCTAATACCTGAAATGTTTATATCATTCAAGCCTTCATATTTATTTGAATCAGCAGGTTGTTTGGGGAAAATTAATTTCTTTGATATTATGATTTCTAATTTAATTTAGTTATGGATCAAAACTTTTTAAGAAAATAAAAAGTAAATGCACAACTATTAAAGTGATTTAAAATAGGGAAACATTTGGTATGCAACATTAAATTATCTTCTGGGGAATGAACAGTAAAACTCAAAACAACTGAACCTTTTTTAGTTCAGCTATCTTATTAAGGAACATTTTATGCATCACTTTCTCAGTCTCCTAATAGTAATTTTATGTTGTTTTTTTTTATGCTGAATATTGATGGAAATTTATCTGGCATAAGATCAAATATGCAAAAGTATTTATAATTCCATATTATTTGTAAAAATGTGTTGTAGCTTTTAAATATTATTTATAACACTTAATCTTCCTATTTGTTATCATTAACCATAATTGACTGACAGCACTATAAAGGAATTGAACTCATGTCATATCTGCAGATGGTTGTATAATTCTTGCATTATAACACTGATGAGTATTATTGCTCCATGGCACTTACACAGAAGTGAAATTCAACTTCAGCTGACTGTAAAGTATTTTTCTTAAGAGGAGGTCAAACCATTTTAAAATATCACCTTATTGCTGTTGCTTATCAAGGAAATATTGACAAAGTGATTTGTTCTCCTTTTTATCAGGGAAGAAAACAGAAGTATAAACAGTGCAATTCGATTGCATAAAGCATTTTAACAAATCATTTTTTTATGTGGGTGAGACCAAGTTTCCTAATCACAGTCTAGAACTTGTGGGACTGATTGGTGCCTAAGACAAATCGAAGTAAAAGTCAAATGTTCATCTCACTGTTAAATAAAGTTGTGGAAGCATTTCTGACTAATGTGCTTAAAGCTTCAAAATTTGTAAATTAATTTATGTGCATGTGTTGTGACATTGTAACTGGTAGCCTTTTGTACTATTTGAATATGTCTATCTGTATGAAGTAGTAATGAAATAAATTAAAATTGAATGGAACAGTTCATTGGAACTAGTTGGAATAGTTGTGTTAAAAATGAATTTCTAGTTGCAAAAAATACTTTTTTGGTATTAAGAGAACAAGAGAGAAAACATTAAAACATTTAAAAAGGTCTAAATTAGTTATTTTTGAACAGAGGAAACATAATTACATTAAAGAATATGAAGGACAACTATTTAAAAATAAAAACTGAATAGCGTCCTACTAAGTTTGAAATTAAAATTGAATATTGAATTCAAATTATAGGTCAGCTATGGTTTACTTCATATTTATCATCTTTTTTTTTATTATTTTCTGTTTGGGAAGATCTCAGTGTTTGCTCCTAACAAATCTCTCCTCTTTTTGCCTTCATTTGGAGTTTCCCATGCATTTTCCAGAACCATTTTCCCATGGGAAACACAGATGGGGATTGAGTCAAAGAGGCTTAGCAAATATTACCCACAGTGATCCATCTCATGGAAAGTCCTGGTGTATTTTGTCACTTTTAGGACTTCAAAAAACAATTACACAAAAAAAAGTTTCTCTTTGTTTACCTCAACCTGTACCAAAAAGGTTTTATTGTGAAATATGTGTATATTTTCTCAACACCTATTAACAGTGAGGCAGTTCACCCTAGAACACAAGAAGTAGTAGTGATAGGAATGGGTGGGAAGAATGAAAGGATATGGCTGGGCCAAGATAGATTTTATGAGTCACTTAGAATACTTACAGTTAGTGATTTATGTCAATAACTTGCTCATTTTACTTTTTGAAGAAACATCAATAAAAATGCTTATGTGTTATGTGCACAAAAGCAATGCTAGGAATCGCTCGTATAGCTGTCTTTATCTCAAGCTAGTAAAAATGCTGTGTCTTTCATTCTATTTCTTATGTTTTCTCTTCAACAAAATTGGAGAAGAGGGCAGAACAGGTTTTGCCTGGAAGTGAGGTGGGTGGGTTAAGAAGGAGAGGGAGGTGGGAGGTGGGGTGCAGGGGGGTGGAAATGGCCCAAACAATGTATACACATATGAATAAATGAATAAACAATAAAAAATGTTTGTGTGTTTTGAATTTCATAATTTTCCAAATTCCTTAATATTTGTGCATGATCTTTCAATTGAGCATGTTCAATGTTATTTTGAACTGTGGAAAAACATGCATTTTGGAGATATTTCATGAGATTTTTTTTTTAATGCATTACTTTTCTGGGAGTGAGGCATTTAACTGAAAAGGTTGATGCTCAAGAATCTCATGATTTCTGAGTTTTATTTTTACTCAAATGCTTGAGAACTGCTTTTGTGACTTCAATAGAGATCATGGGAAAAATGTGTTAATGTTAGAATCACAGTCATGTTTTTTATTTAGTGTGCCACAGAAACCAATATATTTAATTTGTTGGCAAACAGAAGACAGAAGACTGTTTTATGTTCTTAACTTGAATATTGTACCTATTTCCTGTCCTTGAACTTTCAAACTGTAAGAAAGGAAAGATTTCAATTTGAGAGATTTTGGGAGGCTGTAAGTGAGCAGCATCTTATCCAATGAGTAGGCATTTGGTTTATTTATGATAGGACACGGGAATATTTTAAAACTAAAATGTATTGAGAACTTAGCTTTGTTAATCTTTCTATGTTAAATGTGAAAGTATTGAACTGGCAATGAAATATGAGACATTTTACCCAGTGACATTTTCAATGGATCTCATTGCAGGGGAAGCCAGTGGGAACACCAGATGCTGGCGCATATTTCCGAGTGCTTGCAGAGCATGGAGTAGCTGCCTTGTTTACAGCACCAACTGCAATTAGAGCAATCCGTCAGCAGGACCCTGGGGCAGCCTTGGGGAAGCAGTACTCTCTGACAAGGTGAAGTAGGGACGAACAGGGAAAATTACATTAAAAACTGCAATCAGAATGAATAACTGAACATTGTATTTTTTCTGGTACTGAACTACCTCTATGGAGAGAGGCAAAATATTCTGAATGTTATTAAGAATGTCTTTTCTAAATATACCTGGAATAGTTGGAATATTAACTACACTGTAGAACTTTTTAAATACTGTATCATGCTTATTCTAGTTCAACTCTTACCAAAACATTTATCTCTTTTTTAAATTTCCCTGATTATATTTTCCTTAAAAATAAAAAGTAAAGTGTTCATTAGATTTAAAATGCATGTTATTTTAGCATCTGTCTTTTGAAAATAGAAGAATGGTATAAATAGGAGGAAGAATTCAGTATACAGATAAAATGGGAAAATTATAATACAAATTAGATTTGTTGAAAGAATCAAGAAAATCACTCAGTTTTGTTTTGTAATAATATTCTGTGAATAGTTTAGATATTTTTGTGCTAGCTTATCGACATCTATTTTAGTTTAATGATATGTATATTCAAAGATAATTACAGCAATCTGTATCTTCAAGGCAATTTCCAACATCAGTTCTCATTGAACAATTTGAAATAGGTCTCTGCTGTCATAAACTAAAAGAAGAAATTTTGTAGTTTCTTTAAGTCAAAAAGTAGGCTTTAATTAAGGCAGCTTGAATTTTTTTTAAGTTACATGGCAGAGTATTTGAATTTTATGGTGTGATGACCTAAAGGAATTAAAATAGATACTGTGCATTCAGTGTAGATAATAGCAAGAAGATTTCAATTTGGGCAGGGCTATTAGTTTCATTATTTTTTCTCTCTGTTTTATGTTACAAAAATAGATCGGTATTTACCTGAAGTTCTATTTATAATGCAAATAATGCACTTGTGTTAAAACAAAGGGGACTTTATAAAATGAGTTGTCCATATTTTATCTTCTTTTTGTATCTTCATTTACCACATTTCAATCTATTTTACTTAACATCATCCCAAAGCATAGAAAATTTTGACAAAAATATCTTAGAAAATGTACAGTCTCCATACCTTCAGACATTTCCAAGTGATTTTAGTTGCTTGCTGTGTCTCTTCACTGACAAATATACCAAGGTTGCAGGGCTTGAAATTGAGTGATCAACGAGCTAAGGTCTTGCATTTGTTTTCCCATTTCTATTGGGGTTTTTAGATATTGTTCTTCACACAACAGTGAATGCTTGCTAAATCATCACTCTTCAAATGAATATGAATATACAAGGAATATGAGATTTTAGTGTAAGCAAAATGGCAAGAAATTTCCCTTGATCATGCCCCTGTCTCCTTCTGTACGTAACTTATTCATCTGATTTGCATATTAATTTCTAATGGATATTCAGGAATGTTTAAAATATTTATAATATTTTGATCTTCAAACCACCCTCAACCTATTCAAATTACCTACTGTGAACCAGACACAAGTAATTTGTTATCTAAAATATAATCTTTTGCAGGTAGAAATTGTGATTATCTTCATTTACAGACAAGTAAACAAGGACCATGGAGTTTTAAGTAGCTCTTCAGAAAGAAACTAAGTCAGGCATTCTGAGGAGGACCCACATCCTTCATTCAACACCCCAGGTGTATTTTCACTATTAAGGGAAACATTTCTTTTACCCAGAGATTTTGGCATTCATTGAAATAAAAGGATCTTTTGCTTTTCATTTTTGTTCCATTCAAATAATACCAACACTGAACTACTTTAATACATTCTCACTTGTAGGCTAAGAGTATGTAGGAAATAAAGGTGACCTCAAAAATCTATTTTATATTAAAGACAAGGAAATTGAGGCCCAAAAATGTTATGTTTGGGTTAAAGAACAGAACTCACATCGTATGCAATTATACATTTAGTTTTAAAGTTATGTTCAGGGTATTTTATGTGTACCAAAGAGACATTCGCTAGATTGTTGTAGGCTTATGATCTTCAGTTTACTTCTCTCTTCTCTTAGAGAACATTTTAAAGTGTGAAGTTTTCTTTTAAAATATGTTACATATCTCATTAAAAGATCGGTTTGCAATTAATGTGGACATTTGCCAAACACTTCAATTTCCAAATTCACAGTTTAGGAAACTAAACACTACTATGGATTCACTTTAATATCATAGGTGAGTGAGTTTGAAAAACCAGCTTAGTGTAATCATCCTATTTCATAGATGAGAAAACTTTGTCAGAGATGGGTAAAATAATGTTCCCAGAATTACAAAGCTCTTACAGCCAAAGTTGGGACTAGTTAGTACCATATAGCTTCTCACTCTGGAGTTAGACTCACTGGTTTCAAAGATACAATTTAGTAGCAGTGTGACATCAAGAAAGTAACGTAATTCCTCTCTGTTCTTCAGGATTTTGTTGTTGTTCGTTTGAAATTTAAGGGTAGTAATAGTACTAAGGGGAAATGAAAATTAAAGGGGCATGACCCAGTCAAGACACTTGAAACAATTCTTAATACAGAATTAGTTATTATTATTACAATCTGCTTTCTAGTTCAGCACTCTTTTTCACTACATCATAGTTGTGTTTGCTCTGTTCTTCCTTTTTTTTGATGGTTATTTTAGAGATAGGGTCTCATGAACTATTTGCCTGGGCTGACTTTGAAGGGCAATCCTCCTGATCTGCCTCCTGAATAGCTAGGATTACAGGCTTAAGCCACCAGCACCCAGCTTTCTATTTTAATTAAATTAGAAAAAATGTTCAATGCTAGGACTTTTTCAAGAGTTCACAGCAACTTAATTTTGTTTCCTCCTATCTTTGCCAATTACATAGTGATAAGAGATAATAAAGAGGAAAAACAAAACATCAAGGATGAACTAAAGAATAAGGTAAACATTTCTGTGGACTGGAAAAGGAATAGGTTTGCAAAGGTGTATGGTTGTTTGAAGCAGGGATTGTTAGGTGTTGGCAGGCATTGGTGGCATAATAGGGACCCAGAATTATCTTGTTTTAATGGAAGAATCAGAGCCAGTTGAGTACTTCAAGACAGTCTGGGTGTTACTCCCCACATAGGAAAGGAAGCTGATAATATTCCCTGTTAGTTGTTTTTTGGGTCAGTGACTTATAGCAAACTTTAGTCTGGGGATCTAAAAGAGACAGGGAAAACCCAATAACTAGACTAAACTAAAATGTTTATGTACTATCCTGGAACAGGATCTGTGATGTCACAGTTATAACTATGGATTGATAATCTTGAGCTACCATTTGAACATTGGATTTCTGGAGTACCCTTATGTCACCCACGTGCCTAACGGTGACATAGGAAAGAATCTGAGAGTGAAATATAAAACAAAGAATCACTCTTTCAAAAACAGCCTGCAAAATAAAATTCCAAAACACATGAAGAAATCTCAATCTAGTAAAATCAACAGAACATGGATTCATTTCAGAGGAAATAAATTTTATGGTGCAATCGATTCAGACGTATAATCAAAGTTATAAGCTAATATCGTTTACATAAAACATAAATATAATGGCCATAAACACAAAATACAAATACAATTGATGGTATTAATTAATTACATAAAATAAATATATGGCCATAATCAAAGTATCTATTCAAAACTCAAAGATAGTATTGAGGAAATTACCCAGTAGACAGAAGTAAAAAAATTGCAAAAGAACAGTTCAGAAGCTTGAGGAGAAGAATAAGAATTTAAAAATGCTTCTAATAGGAATTTCAGAAAAGAAGAATGACAGGATTGTTAAAATTGTTTTGAAAAGTTAAAGAGACAGTAATTGAAAATGTTATGGAAGTAAAGAAAGACATGGATCCCAGATGGAAAGTGCTATCCATGGGCCAACTAGGTTAAAAATAAGTAAATTCACTTTGGCATGACATTTTGAATTTCAGAACATCAATTGAGGCTATAACAGCATACTGTAAGAAGTTTGAACACAATCCAATTGGGAAAATGATGTATTATTTCAGTCAATTCATGGACAGGACACTAGAATGTCATAAAGCATTGAAAGATCTTCATAAAATACCTAACAATGGCACTTGTTGACAAAAACAGGTGTCAGGATTGTTCCTATACTGCTATTGAGAGTGTAAATGGAAACTATCTGGTAATGTTTAATATGTTTTTTTGTTTTTATTTCTTTTATCATATGTGCATACAATGTTTGGGTGATTTCTCCCCCCTTTTCCCCGCCTCCTCCAGTTCCCCCGCCCCCTCCCTCTTCCTCCCTACTCCCTCACTACCAGGCAGAAACTATTTTGCCCTTATCTCTAATTTTGTTGAAGAGAGAGTATAAGAAATAATAGGAAGGACCAAGGGTTTTTGCTTGTTGAGATAAGGATAGCTATACAGGGAGTTTACTCGCCTTGCTTTCCTGTACATATGTGTTACCTTCTAAATTAATTCTTCTCCAACTAACCTTTTCTCTAGTTCCTGGTCCCCTTCTCCTATTGGCCTCTGTTGCTTTAAAGTTTGTGCATGTTTTTGCCCCATAGACAAACCCACGTTAATATGGGTTAATATGCTGCCTCTGCCCTCAAAGAAATTCAGCAGAGTTGGATCATATAAAAAAGAACCTGAATCAATCAATTAATACAACTGAGAGATTCAACAATAGAGTAGATTAAGCAAAAGAAAGAATATGTAAACTTGAAGATAGGTGTTTTGAAATGACATACAGTGAAAAGAAGACAAAATAGAATGATGATGCTCTATGGAGTTGGGGACACCACTGGGCAAACAAATATTCACATTATGGGTTCCAAAAAGGACAAGAGACAAAAAGTTTATTTAATGAAATATTTGCAGGAAAACTTCCAAACATTTGGAGAGATTTAGATCTTTAAAGTCCAATTCCCTCAAATACATCAATTTACTTACCAATTTTGCATTTCCATGACTTAAAATTTTTTGTTTTAATTGACAGATAAAATTATATGTCACCATAGACAAGAAATTTTGAAATTAGCATTAGTGAAATGACTACATCTTGTAATTAGCATATACAT